AGGCAGGAACGAGAGTGAAGTCGGCCTCATCCTGAGCCCGTTTCCAGGAGTGCGAGCCCGAGGCTTTTTGAGGACGTCCCGAAGACAGGAGCACAACTTTTGATTTTTTGGCAGCAGTCGTCTCGACTGCTGCGCTCGGCCCTGAACCACCGTCAGGCTTTGTCGGAGAGGCGGGGCCGGTGGATTTCTTGTCGGCCTTGGCTTTGGCGTTTTCAAATCGAGCCAAGACAGAATCTGCAACGAGAAAAATGAAAAACTTGAATGAGATTGAGATATCGAAAAACACGAACGAACCCACTGAGAAGCAATAAAAGAAAAATAAACACACAGGCAAACTTACAAGGATCGTCAAGGAGAGGAAGAGACTCGTCGACAACAATACCGACATGGTTGACAAGAGAGGCCTCTTTTATTAGAGTACGAGCCTTATATGTATGCTCATTAAGCTCGGCTAACATCGACGCGAACTGAACAGATCGCGGTCGTTTATCTTGTTTCACCTTCTTGGTGATCCATTCGTTAGGGTAAGGATATGTACCAGAGGCAGGACGAATTTTGACTTCCACCGGGTCACGTTCGAGAAAAGATCATCGAGAAAAGTGACACCAGGCCGACGACCCAGGCAATGAGCGTCTTTTATGAATCTATAACTATAGCAATAAAAGATAAACTCGGGAGAAAAATATCGAAGCTTTATTCTCGAGACGACGATGAAGGCGATCATGATACGAATGGCGTTAGGAGAGAACTGATTTATTGGGACATTGTACAAATCGCTGATAGCACAAAGTTCGGGTTGAATCGGAAAGCGAAGACCGAACAACACCTGGTCGATAAAAAAGGTGTAAAAGCCAGGGAGAGGATTAGCAAAGTCATCACTAGGTTTGGGAACTGCAAGCTCCCAGTCAGCAGGAAGACCACTGTATACTCTGAAGCCATCGACCTCGGCTGCAGAGGCATAACAAAAAGGATTTAAAACAGCTATCTTTGCTAAGGGACACGCTATAGATACAACATTTTGAACCTCGAGGAGAGGCGCAATTATTGGTAAAGGAGGAGGACTAGTTCTATATACAGGTAAATCTAAAATCCTAAGGGGGATACCTCGGGGAATGAGGTCGAGACGAAGAGACTCCTTAGCTCGAGAGGCTTCGGGATCTTCAGCCAAGACGCCCGACATCCACGTCTGTCTATAAGCATCTTGGTCGATGCCGAAAGAGGAAACATCCGAAGGAGAATTTTGTGATTGATCGGCTGGTTTGAAGCCGACTACTTGCGCTGAATCAGATCATTGGGCGCCTGCGTCGATCAAACGTTCGACAGTGTCGGGCGAAGAGTCAAAATCAGAATCTAGAAAAAGAAACGAAAAAGAAGAGTCAGAATCAGTAAGATTAGAAATCAGCAAGGAGCAAAAGGTTCAACGTAAGCCAATACAAGGGAGGTCGACTGGCGAAAGTCATAAAAGGCCGATTTGACAAAAGAGTGTAGAAAGGAAGCCCTTGGGAAACGACCCCAAGAGTACAGTCGCCAGAACTCCAAACTCGCCTTAGTCGAAAAAGATGATGCGATATGCTAACTACTGAAGAAAAGTTATACCTAAATCAACCTAAGTTACGCAAATCGGTTTTCAGCAAAAAGTCGACATAAGGTGAAGCCGGGAAACAAGAAGTCTAAGGAAAACTCTGGATAAGAAGATCCAACACAAAACCCATAGAAAATCTTCGAAAAATATGAAGCACACGCATGAACTTCGAAAGTTCTGGGAATCCAAAAAATCGGAGAAAGGAGAAATCAACGGAAAATTGAGAATTAAGAGAAGAAAGTGAACTTACACATGATGGCGTGGTTGGTGGGAACTATGAACGAGCCTGAAACTGCCGGAAAAGGAAGAGCGCCGGTGAAGCCGAAGAGCAAAGATCGCCGGAGGGCTTGAGGAAATTTGAGAGAGCAGGAAGTTCGAAAATGCGAAAGGTGACCTTTTGAGAAGAGGAGGCGTATTTATAGGTGGAGATAATTGACGCTGATCATTGGATCAGTGAGAGAACCAATGGTCTTGATGAAGCGCAGTATTCAAAGAGGCGGCGATGGAGATGACGCGCGTCACTTTAGGGTTTTCGAAAATTGAAATTTGAAATGGATTTGTCAGAGTGTCAGACTTATCCGAAAAAGCAATCATGAGGTTGAGATACTCCCTAATCGATTGACGAGACGATCTGTAGAAGGGGCCAGTACGAGCAAGAATGGTAAGACGACGACACAATCATACTTCACCAAATTTACTCTTCAGCAGTCGACTGCTTAGAGTAATTTTTGGGGGGGACTAGATGATATAGCCACACAAGGATAATCCGGTCCAGAGGCTCCTTTCTCGACCGGTGAACCATTCGAACAACTCGCATGTCGACATGACTCCGTCGACATGCTCAAATCGGCTTCTCGAAAGTCGATTCTACGGAGAGCAATCAAGAAAAGGCAGAAATCGGCCTAGTCGACTCTCGCAAGTCGACCTTAGCCTATCGACTCTAACTAGTCGATATCAATAGCGGAAGAACATCAAGAGCGTAACTCCTAAGCATCCAGATAATCTAAGTCGACTCTCAGAAATCGACCTCGCTAAGACGATTCTCTGAAGGCGATTTCCACTCAAAAGAATGACAAAGCGTAGCCTCCGGATACTCATATGATCATGAGTCGACCTCTCAGTGCTCGAGGTCGACTTCTTACGCCTCGAGGTCGAGAACGTGGTGACGGCTCATCGCGCTTGTTGCATACTTAAAGTTCCATACATTACCATGGATAAGAAGGAATCTGGTGATGACTCAACATCAAGGGGAGACGAATCGACCAGGGCATTTTGGACCTTCTAGGTCCACCGACTTGGGCATTTTGGGCACTTCAAGTAAGTATTCACTCCTATATAAAGGAGGTGAGGTAACCCCAAACCCTGACTCTCATTCATTCCTACTCTCCCCCATAGCTGCTGCACAGCATCACTTCATCATTCTCATACTGACTTGAGCGTCGGAGGCTCTACGCCGGAAACACCCCGGCATTGAGTTTTTGCAGGTATCTCGCGGTTTAGCAACGATTTGGAGGCGGTTCAAGCAGATCTGAGCTCATATCCACCGGTTTACTCCAGATCTTGAAGTAGACTCATCATTTTTGAGCTCATATCCACCGGTTTACTCCAGATCTGCAAGTAGACTCATCAGATTGGTTGTCACGATTATCTATTTATGGGATCACATTGAGATGCTGTTGTTGTGAGTATCTTGGTTATTTTCTTGCTGAAAGCTATTTAAGTCTTTGTGAATGTAGTTGATTAATGATGACCTGCTTCCAATCTCATATACGGTCCATTACTGTGCATTAGTCTGAAATTTTAAGTCATCCATAAAGCAATATTGGTCTTTCAATACCAATGTGTGTGTCGGATGATGACTAGAATAACCCTCTTCCTCCATATTATAATCTTTATGACTGTACTGATGTCATGTTGAGACCTTGAGGAAGACGCATCGATAAAATCATGTATTTGAAATGCAATCTCTGTTCACTTCTTATGGTATTAATCATTCACTTTGAAAGTGCATCTTCCGGATCTCGTCACAATTCACCCTCCCAAGGAAAAGGAATTCATCAGGCCAGCAGCCATTGTGCCGACTGAAGTCGAGGTGCAAGCGTAGAAGAAAAACTTAATTTGCCTTTCATCTTATGTCGAGCATTGTAGTTTATTTGTTGTTCTGAGTTATGAAAACCGTAGAATCATTTGCTTGACCAATTTTCTTTCTGCAACACTAAATTTTGTTTGGCTTCATTTGGGTGTCATTTGTTCCGACTGCTTAATCTCACATTTCATTCTTTTATGATTTGAGAGCATTATGACATCCCAGTAAAATAGTAATTGAATAGGAGATTCCTTAGAAGAATTCGTTGCTAAAACTGTAATTATGTAACCAAATCATGTTAGCATCTAACGAGGATTAGCAGACCTGTTCTGAATTTATAATGGGAAAAATTGTATTATCACAGAAGCTAAATGAGCTAGCAACGGATCATACAAATACACAAAAACAAAAATTCATCTTTAAGAATATTTTTGCCCTTGAGCAATTTTGGTCATTTTTTATTTTTTTTTAAAAAACGTTATTTGACTTAAATAAAAAGAAGTGGACCTAAAAATGTACTATGATGGTCAAGTTAAAATAACAGTTTTAGAATAAAATAACGTCAACTGACAAATTTGTTTTAGGGAAGCTCGGTAGTGACAATAACGATGTTAAGTTCAATCTTCAATTCATCGACCTAGTATATAATATCATATCAAAATGTGAGGTATTTAATCGAACCCATTGTATGTAGGGTTTCATTAATGTGAAAAATTGGAATTTCACCAAATAATGGAAATTACGAAAAAAACGATGGTAATGATAACAGATAACATGATTTGCAAGGATTTCAAGAAGCGTGAAATTTTTTGTCCACAAATGCCGTGTTTCTTTACCTTTCAGAGATTTTGGTGATTTCTAATCTCCACGCATGGTAGAAATACTGAAATAGCATGCGTAAATGAAGAAAATAAGAGATGGTAATGGTTGTGGAAGAAAATTGATGATGAACTTAATTTCTTATCATGGTTTGGTTGAATTTTTATCCAAACAAGATCTTACTATTGGTCGTGTTTAACTATTCAATGATAATTTAATTACATATGGAATTGCTTATTGATGATTAATTATTACTCCCCTACCCCAACTTTTTTTTTTTTATAATTTTTTAATCCCTATTTAAAATATTAAACTTATTTATTTTACTATAACAGGGCACACTTAATCATACTTCGAAACATTTTTCTAATTTCCATATCTTATTGAAATGCCACCTACTTTTCATTTACTAATAAATATATATTTATGTTTAAAAGTACGACGTGTAGACTGAGATTGGAAAAAGGGCTAATTGGAAATATGTATTAATTAACCAATTGCTTACCAACTACACAAAAATATTCTAAACCAAATTTACCATATGCCTATATATAAACCAATCCCTCGTAGAAAGCAAAAACACATCATAGTTAGTTTTAGACCATCAAACAATTAATGGTTCACACAATGTCTTCCCCAAGAAACACACTTTATTTTCTATTTGTGATGTTTGTTGTTTTATTGCAAGGAATATGCAAGGTTACGGGCCGAGGCTTCTTCTCATCATCACAATACAACAATGGGCAAGGCTACAAACCAGCACCCAATTGCGCAAGATTCGAATGTGCTTCGTATGTTGTGGTTCATAGCCAAAAAGAATTCGAAATCCGAAAATACGAAAAGGCTTTGTGGGTGTCGGCTCCGAGTATCACTATGGATGATTACAAAAGTGCGGCAAGTAAAGGTTTCCTAATGTAAGTGTCTCATTTTTTCTCTGCTTTTTTAAGTTCTAAGTGTTGTTTTATTAGATTCTACAACGTTAATTGGTTTGTGATATATATGCTTGTGGTTAGTATGTTATATGTGTCGGGAAAATGTCGATCGTTTTATCGTGATTGTGTTTTCTTGGCTCGTTGTTCATGGATGTCGAAAGCTCGCCCGTTGTTTCGATAGAGTTTGAATTAACGACGGAGAAAATATGGATGTTGGTAACGAAGACAGCTACGTGTTTTTCGTGATTTATTTTATGGATAACTAGAGGGGTAAAAATTTAAATAAAATATTATTTTATTTATTTATTTTTATATTTTTATGGTTTTAATAATTAACATATATATTAATTTAGAGTTTATGAAATTTCATTTATCCGTCAAAATATTCAATTAACTACCTCATGTTTTAAAATTTAATTTTTTTTAAACTAATAATTTAAATAGTGGTGTGACACAAGCATATTAATTTTATTCTTTGAATGTCATACACTTGATGCCAGAAAACATATTTATTCTTCATTTGCTAGTTTTGGTGAGAAAACTCACTTCTTTTTGACAAGTCCCTTTCTTTCTTCTTCCCTTTGGTTTTCTTGCAGCTTGTTTAGTTATTACAATGGCAACAACACAGAAAAGGTGAAAATGAACTTGACAATACCTGTCCTCATCGACGTCAAAAACACTTCATACACCGTCTATTTTCGCCTGCCCAAAGAGTACCAAAACACGATGAAACTTGTACCTAAGCCCATCAACAAGAACATACAACAAGTGACATTGCCCAAACACAAATTTGCTGCCGTTACAAGGTATAGTGGCAACATTACGAACAAAATAATACCGGTTGAAGTTGCCAAACTAAACACGAGCCTCATGGGTACACCTTACCAGGCGGCAGCTTCGGCGGTTGGTTTCAACGGATACACCATTGCCGCTTACAACTCTCCATTTGAATTGAAAAACCGCGTAAATGAAGTCTTATTCTTTTACGATTAGCGGTCAGTTTTTTATCAATTATGGTATGGAAATTTAAAGTATTGTATGCGCGTCAAAAGTGAGGCGGACGAAAGAAAGTATGCGTATTTTATGTATATGAATACTTGGAAAGATTATCTCACAAGTTTTGTGTTAAGTCTCGGAAATTGACACTATAAGAAAATGATGAAATTCCAACAGAAATATATTCAAATAAAATTCCAACGACAATTCCAGTGGATATTTTTCAATGCTATTATTTCCGTTGGAATTTTCCAATGGATTCCAATGGAAATTCTAACAAAAATATTCCGTTGGAATGAATTTTCCATTGAAATTTTCGTTGGATTTTGACGATTTCGGCAGATTTTCCAATGGGGTGAAAATACAAATTCCAACGGAAATAGCATATTACAACAGAAATTTCTACAGTAAAAGCTATTGAAAATATATCCGTTGGAATCATCAAATCCCGTCTAAAATTTCAATGAAAAACACAATCCAACGAAAGCTATGCCATTGGAATATCCGTTGGAATTTCCATTGAAATAAATTACCATAAGATTTTCTATTAGAATATAACAATATTTTTGTAGTGTGATAAATAGGGCCCAAAATATTGGAAGTTACATCAACTTCTTTCGAAGATCATGGCTAGCTAGCTAAAGAATCGGGTTTTGAAATATTGTTGAATAGCGTCTATCCGAGCAATGGTACTTTCCTTATCACATCGATCACCAGAAACTGGAAAAGTGCAATCTTTAACTGAAAATATAGTCAAATGAGTGTAAATCTCGAATGTTCAATATTTATATACATTTGAAAACATGGTGGAAATGAGTTCTTTCCTCTAGTCAGAGTTCATCTTAAGATTCAAAACTGAACCAATAGGAGAAACTGACTGTTTATCATCAGTTAATATTATGTTATTTTTTTATCATATAAACTTTAATGATTATATATTTATATATTCACAAAGTGCCACACATATTTATTTATTTATTTTCGTAAAACGACATTTTATATGTTTTTGTTCCCTATTTTTGTAGGAGAAATTTTTTTTTTCGAATTTTGATTTTTTTATATCCAATGGCAACCTCACCCCCATAGCAAGCAAATGAATTGTGCGTAGAGGTGTAAACAACCATTAATGGTCCATTCCATACAATGTTTTCCTTTCCATTCCATACAATGTTTTCTCTAGAATGAAATAAAAAGAAAACAAAAGAAAAGGCACTGCATTTTCTATTTGTGTTTCTTGTTTTATTACAAGGATTCAAGGCTACTGGCTGAAGCTTCTTGTCATCATTACAGTGCAACGATGGGTGTTGTAAGACCCGAATGATCTTTCACAAGTACGAGTTTGTCATTATCAAAATAGCATTTTAAATTTTAGAATGTGTTGTGGAAATGCGAAGAGTTAGTGTGCTATCTCTAGTAATTGTGTGCTACTATCTTGACCTGGACGGTGATAACTGCTAATACGGAAGGTCTGTAATTTGTACTTATTGGCGATACTTTCATATATTTTTATGGAATTTCTTGGCCAACTACTTTGTATATAGGGAAAAATACAATTTTAGTTGATTAAATTTGTCGTTTTTAAGTTTTGTACACTAACTTCCAAAGATACTTAATTTTGTCCTTTTGTAATTCTTGTACAATTTTGATAACCGATCGACCGGACCTATTTTGGACGGTTCTGACCGATTTTTACTAGTTCATCGGATCGTTGACAGATTCGCTGGTACCTGGTTCATTCCAGCGATCCAGACCGATAGACTGACCGATTCTCGGTCCAAGCGGTCGGACCGGACGATTTGATCTGATTTTCTAAACCATGATATTTTGGGCATGCAACTTTAAAAACTAATTTTCAGGCAAAAGTATACAAGCCAATTTTAAATTTCACTACAAAAAAATTCCTTATAAGTAAGTTAATCTATTTAAACAAAAAATGAAACTTTCACTTTTAAATTAAATATCAACTTCTTTTAATATATATAGATTTCATCTCAGCTTCTTCTTATTAGCTTTGCCATATTAATCTTCATGAAAAATGGAAAAAAATAGGTAAATAGCGAATGCATCTACCAAAGGCTTCGAGCATCTCCAATGCTCAAATGTTGTTGTGGTAAAATACATTCCACATCAACACATTTAGTAATATCACAAGTTTTCATCCTTCAATGTACAATGTGATCACAAATGTTGTGGTGATGTGGACATAATTAATATCTACAATGTAGAGAAGAATGTGGTTCATCCACATTCTCCTCCACACTCTAGTTAGCCAATGGAGAGAAGAGAGATAATTATTCTTACCATTTTCAAACTCTTTAATTATTTAATTAATTTTTTTTTAATTTATATTAAAATTTTAATATTTGGTAAGTAGATAATATTGTAATTAGACTACATTGTGCATTAGAGATGATTTTTTAATTTAATAGTTGTGAACTCAACATTTTTCCTACATGGTTCACAATCTATTTAATTTTTTGACATTTGTCAAAATTTATCCTATACCCAACATTAGAGCATTGGGGATGGTCTTAGGTTAGTGACGTCAAACAATTTGTATATGCTGTAGGCCATTAATTTAGTAGGACACAATTTCTTTATAATAATAAAAAACAATAAAAAAAAGTTAACTTGCATGGTAGAAAGTCATTGCCCCTCACCTAGGTTAGTGACGTCAGACAATTTGTATATTCGGTAGGCCGTGAATTTAGTAGGACACATTTTCTTTATACAAATAAAAAACAATAAAAAAAAATTAACTGCATGGTAGAAAGTCATTGCCCCTCACCCCAATTTCAACCTTCCATTTTGACTTTGTAAGACTTGAATGAAATTATCGATTACAAAAAAGTTCCATTTATTGGATTTTTCTCTCTCTAGAGATTCGTTCCATCTATTGGATTTAGTGCTTCTATTCATCTCTTCTATTTTAGAGTTTAGCATCTTGGATCTTTCCCAATTTGTTTAGCTCTGTAATTCCACCCTGCTGATTTCCCCTCGTCCCTCCCTTCCTTTCCCTTTTTTTTTCTCCTTTTCCTTTTTGTTTTCTGGTAATGGAGAAGGACATCACAGATAAACTCCTGAAATTTGTTCTATGTGAAAAAGAGGACAAAGGGATCACCATTGATGAAGAGGTCATAAACCTCAACCTCAAAGAATGCCAACTTAGTCTTATAGGCAAAATCTTTGGCAAAAAAAGGGCGAACTTCAATGGTCTCAGTGCTACCCTCAGAAATATCTGGATCATTAAGCAGCCGTTCAAAATCAAGAACCTAGGGCAGAACATGTACCACTTCATATTCCAAAATGAAGAAGACAGAGATAGAATCTACACTGGGAAATTATGGACAGTTGACGGCCAGTATCTCCTTCTTAAACCTTGGCAACCGGGAGCAATTGAATTCAAACCCGAAGAGGAAAGAATTAAAATCTGAGTGCAAGTCTTTAATCTCCCCCTCCACTGGATAGGGGCAGAAATTGGGAAAAAAAATTGGTAAGCTGTTTAGCAAACTTCACGATGTTGTAGTCCCAGGAAATGGCAGCTCAAATGGGAAAGTGGTGAAAATCCTGGTGGATATACAGCTCAATGAAGCAATATTGCGCGGAACTCATATCAAGCTCGGTTCAGAGAGCATATGGGTTGAATTCAAGTACGAAATTATCCAGAACTTTTGTTACTATTGTGGTCGCATTGGTCATGGAGAAAGAAACTGCTCCACCAAAAATGAGGATGTGAATAAAAATGGGCTTAACATTATACAATATGGAGATTGGCTACGAACTTACAGTGGATCCTTCAGCGACTACAGGAATGATAACTCTTCCCCTTTTGAAAGCCAGCCTAGTATCAAAGACTCCAAGCACTCTCTCCCACCAGACAATATCCTCAGTGGGGATAATAACTCTGACTCGGATAAGGTAATTGATGCAGTTGGCAGTGCTAATATTGATAAACCTACTCAGAACTCCCCAGAAATTTCAGCCCTCACTAGCAATCCTCAACATCCACCACCCAAATCTCCCACGCCTATCCTTGTTGACACCTCATCTCCAGATAAATCCCCTCCTATTCATACAGACAACATCATTCAAAACCCCTCTCAGCTAGTGGAAGTGGACATCCAATCCTCAACCACCAATAGCAAAGCTATTCCCAGGAAAAAGAAACACACCCCAAGAAAACCCAAAACTGAAAAAACCCCTTTGACAGACCAAATGGTTGTTGACACCCCAGATCCCACAATCCCAGCTCCTTCTTCAACCAAATCCAATAGAAAAAGGCAACTTGAAACCTGTGATTCCATCCATACAGACCCTGAGCTTAATGCCACTGAAAACAAAAAACTCAAAACTTCTGACCTTTTAATTATTTCCGAGGTGGACGAAACTAGCCCTAACTGGTCCCAAGGTGATTAATGAAGGTCAATGTGTGGAATTGTAGAGGTATGGGTGGTCCCTCTACAATTTCTCAGTTCAAAGAATCCTTAGGATTCACCACCCAGATTTTTCTTTTCTTTCAGAAAAAAAAAAAATTCCAAATTTGTGGAGTCTGTCTGTAAAAAGCTTAGATAGATAGTAGATGGATATATGTAAACCCTGTGGGAACTAGAGGGGGTCTCTTTTTGTGCTGGTCCAACAATATTACCATTTTAGATATTAATTGCCTGGACTTTTGTATTGAAGTCAAATTCACCTTTAAAGGCAATACCAATATTCAATGGGCCTGTTTTGTCTACCTCAGTACTGATTATAACACCAGAAGTATGCAGTGGTCTATGCTTCTGTTCATGTGTGATTTTACACCATATTTATTGAGTATCTAGAGCTTAGTCATTGCGTTATTGGTGTATAAATCGCATATTTATGCTTTAATTCTCTATTTGTTGGAAAGGTATTACACGTGCTTGTTTTGTAGATATTTTCACGTATGTGTAGAGCTTATGGCTATTGGAGGCGCATGGTGAGTACCTAGGACCCCCGAGATGATGATGGATTGATGCACGGATGAGAAAAATGGAAGAAACGAGTGAAACGGAAAAAAACGAGAGTGCTGGGATGTGACACGGACGGTGACACGGGCACCATGCCCGTGTCAGGTGGCCGTGTCACGCGAACAGGGACATTCCGAGGGCTTGAACTTGACACGACCTGCGACACGGCCTGTGACACGGGC